GCTGGCTAGGATTGGTCCATGCCCTCGCCAGAATCCAGTGCCTGGCCTTAAGCGCGGCGCACTGCGGCGTGTCATCAAGTGGCACTTGGCAGCGATAAGCATGGCGGTGGTGGCCGCAACAACAAAAAAAAAACTAAATAGTTAAGATATCAAATAGATATATCATCAATTCGTTTAGAATACATTTTCATTGCATATATCTATACATAATAGTAAAAAGTTAAAATTTCAGTCTATTTTTTTGGTCCATTTATTTTTTTTTTTTGTCCGTCTCCCTCTAACTATCAGACAAGGGAGAGTTTCTTCAGTCCGGACTTATATATATAATATAACCCATGCTCATACGAGTTAGAATAAGTCTTGTATAGCGTGATATGGAATCTGATTAGGAAGTTGAATAAGGATCCTAATCCAAATCCAAATAGAAAAAGATAAGAGTAGAGAACTATTCCTAATATTATTAAATCACGATAAGTTTCTTAGTTTGGATATTTTTCTTCTATTTTTTTTCCATAAACGTTCCGACTTTTTTTTCTTTGTTGACGTACAGATCGTGTCCTCATCGGCGACGTTTTTCATTTCCGTTTTTTCTTTTTTGCCCTAGAGACTCTCTTGGTTTGGGTCTTTTTTCTGTTTTGTCCATAAACGTTCCGACTTTTTTCCCTTTTTGCCGTAGAGATCGTGTCGCCATGATTTTGTTTTCGTTTTTCTTTTTCCCGTAGGGACCGTGTCCTCGTCGGCCACGAATTTTATTGGCAACATTTTTTTCTGATTTTTTTGTCTTTTTTCATTTTTTAGACAGTTATATTTTTATCCATCACGTTCAATTAAATGTGCTTCAATGTCTTTTTTTATTTCTTTTTTCCAGTTTTAGCAGTTACGTTTTCTTTGTCCTATCACGTTCAACTAAACGTGTCCATTCTGTTATTTTCACGTTCAACTAAATATAGAAACAGATAGATGAATAATAACAATAAAAATAAAGAATAAAAACAACTCAATATACAGGCTTTGAACTCTGGAAGTTTGATTGGAAAATAAATATTCCCACCACCAAGTTATTAATGCTATTTTGATTAAAAGAAAAACTCATGTTATTAATAACTTGATTTAGTCGATATTCCAAAAGTCAAATAGTGAAAATAGATCTTGAGTAGTTTGTTATGTCTAAAAAAAAATGTGCCTTCGACACGTATGCGCCAGTGCAATCGCCGACAATGAAACGATGTGGAAAATGGAGAGCGGCCTCTGTCATAATCATCAGATATAGTAGTCCTTGGCGTCGATAACTAATTCCACACTAATTTGAGTTAAAAAAATTACATGTCTTCAAAAGAATCCGTGAAACTTGATATTTACCAGCAAATATTTTTGTGCTTAGCAATGCGAGAAAAAATCTATAAGGACCTTGTTTTAATTTGATATAAGCTTAATTATGTCATATTATTGCCAACATTTGCTTATATTTTGGATTTCGTCACAAAATAAATTATAACTCTCAAATTTTATAGAAAGAGGAAAACATAAATAGTTGTTTTTAGCACTTTTTCTTCCGTTGCAACCCACGGGCACGTTTGCTAGTTTTAATAACAAGGATAATTTTTTATGGGCTTCCGGCTTCGACCATTATCACCCGAGAATGCATCGGACCATAGTTAGGCTAGTCTCGGTGGGAGTTTCACGAGAGTTTCATTTGCATTTAATAGCACTGCCATATATGCAATTTTGATGGCATGGCAACGCTTTAATGAAGAGAAAGAATTGAGTTTCATGAGGATGAAACTCTCTTGTATGACATACCAACTCTATATGAGTCACATAATTAAATGTCTATGCAACTATAGAACGAAGCTTTGCATTAAGAGTAGGTGTTTCATCCGAGTTTTATTTCATTCTGTATGGCATGCCAGTCTTGGAAACAATGCAATGAAACTCTTCACCGAGACTGGCCTTATTACAAAAGAACATCATCATAACAAAAAAAAACACGACCAAAAAGACATATAGCCAAGACATCGGATAACTAAAAAACAGAAAATAAAGAAGAGGAAGAAAAAAATTCTCCAATAAATAACTCATGTAGTCATCTCGTGGCATTCCGGCTAGTTACGTAGCTTTGACTCCAACAGAACCAGTGAAGATAGAACAGAGCTTGAACCAAACCTACTAAGGCCATTTTGTAGAGCTTCCACTAGCTGACGCATTCAGCCACGTTTTGTAGAGCTTCCACGACGCATTCACTGTGCATGCACTATTCATAGGAGATCTTTTTCTCTCTTCTCTCTCATTCTCTCACAAAGTCAGTGGGAGCAGGTGATGCCAAAAATAGTTTCACCTGCTCTCACTGGCTCTATGAGAGAAGGAGAGAAGAGAAAGAAAAAGAGCTCCCGTAAATAGTGCATGAACAATGAATATGTCAGAGAAGTTAGAGCCGGTGGAAGCTCTATCAAACGGGGCCTAAAATCCTATTTAGATTCATGGAGCTAATAGTACTCCTAGCCACCAATAATTAGTTCATTTGGATCAAACGGTCCACCTAATAGTCTAATTAATTGTTAGTTAATACCCAACTAACAACTATCTCACTAGTTGGATTAAATTAGTAATAGTAGCTAACATTAGCTATGAGCTATTATCTACTCCCTCTGTCCCAATATAAAGGACGTTTTAGACTCTTGGGGGAGTACCAATGCCACCACCAAATGACCTGCATGCCCCTACAATTGCAATCATTACATGTGCAGACAACACAGTGCAGCCACTTGCAAGGCATCGACTTGCTTGTACAATTTTCATTAAACAAATGAACAAACTTAGCGCCAAAAATTAAGAGAAGCAACACAAACAAATTCAAATAGCCATTCAGGCGCCATATTTAACTTCTGGGTTACTAAAGCCACTGCCTCACTGCCCACAACTCCTCCAAACCATTCACTCGCCATGGCCCTTGACTTGAATGCAACTCCAGATGAGGAAGGAGATGAGGGGCCTGATCTCAACGAGCCACCTGCAAATGAACAAGATAGGAGTATCCATGATCCCTTGGAAGCAGTTGGTGCAAGCGAAATAAAAAGAGGTGATTCTTTACTTGCCCTCCTCCTTCAACATGCAGTTTAGTATGATGACTTTTGTTCTTTTTTCTCTCTCTTCCCTGTCTCCTAAAATGAGTTTGCTTGGATTCTGTTTCTCTTTTCTCTATCTCCTAAACTGATTTTGTGAAGGTAATTTGATGCCTTACTCCTATTGGATTTCAATTTGGTGTAGCCTAAGGTTATTTCCTAGATTCAATAGAAGTGCAAAAAAATTTAATCTACTAAGAGTTGCATCTAACCTCACCATATGTTTTGTTGCTTCTACAAAAAATTTGGTATACCAAATGCTTTTTTAGCATCTTGTCCAAAATAAACAGTGCTGACAGGGAGTACATTTCATAGGGGTGGATAACTCACAAGTGCAATTGACAGCTGCCCGCCCATTTTCTTTAAATGAACAAGAAGGAAGCGTACATGCAGGTGAATATTTCCAGCAGTTCTTGATATTTAACGAACATCAATTCTCTATAATTAAAGGGCTATCTTAGAATGCTCATTTCAGTGGCACAAATAAAGTGGTGTGTTTATGTTTGTCACCTGAAATTATTTTTTGTAGCATGTGAGAATGCCTTTAGTGGTGGAGCAAATGCCTTACTTGGCCTCTTTGATGATGCACCGGTTCATAATGTTTGCCATCCCTTTGACTTGAATCTTCCTCAACAGGGCAGTGAACAAGACAACCTGCTGACAGGTGATTATTTCCAATTAGTGACTTGAGCATACACATATGTTTGCTAAAAAGAATCATATTTAATGCATTTGTGCACATCCTAGGCATAATTATTAATTGTGTGCATATCTACAACTGTGCATCATGTGATCCAAATAAAAAGGTCCTATAACACATTTATTAGCTCCAAGTCCAAAACGATTTGTATTGATCAGTTCTATTTTTATCCAGGTCAACAAGATGCCTTGGATGATCTCATAGAGGTGTTTGGCGTGTACGCTGAAACTGTAGACATCGCCTTTGATGAAGAGGAGTTGTCGGACTCAGATGGTGAAGAGAATCAGCAAACACATGATGACGAAGACAATGCCCAAGCACATGATGCTGAAGAGGATGAGCAAGCACATGATGGTGTAGATGATGACCAAGCAAATCATGATCAGGCCCCACATAGATTGAAGAATTTGACAGAAAGACAAAGACAAGACATATTTGAAGATTTGCTTTGGAGCAGTAACAATGGAAAATTAAAAAGAAACACTACAACTATTATTGCTGAAAAGTAGGGCACAGGGCATACCAGTTGATGTCAAGGGTTTGAAACCTAAGAACTGCGGCCGTAAAAAAGTTCAAGTGGATGTCTCTAGAGTTCCAGATATTCCCCTAAGCAGAAGGGGTACTATAAGGTCACTTGCAAATGCTCTAGGTGTCCATAAAAGCAGTCTGCATAGGGCATTCAGGCAAGGATTGCTACGACGACACTCCAACTCACTGAAGCCATATTTGAAGGAAGCAAATAAAAAGGCTAGGCTGCAGTGGTGTCTCTCTATGCTAGAACCAAGTATGCTGCCAACTAATCCCATGTTCAGACACATGAAAAATATAATCCACACTGATGAGAAGTGGTTCAATGGGACAAGAAAGAATAAGAAGATGTACATGGCTCCAGACGAAGAAGACCCCCACAGGACAGTGCAAAACAAGAATAACATTGATAAAGTCATGTTTTATTCTAGAATTACACAGCCTAGGTTTGATGTTGAAGGTAGATGTTATTTTGATGGCAAGTTAGGCTGTTGGCCTTTTGTCCGTGAGGTAGCATTCTCGGCCATGTTTTATTCTTGTTTCGATACATAAGAATCAGTACAACTATATTCTCATAAGAATCGTTCTACTTTCAGGAACCGGCACAAAGAAGAAGTGACAATAGGCCCAGGGGCACACCTATCACGAAGACAATGAATGTTGATAGACAAACAATGAGATCTTATATGATCACAAAACTTTTTGAAGCTATACGCATTCGTTGGCCTCGAGAAGATGCCAACGAGATAATTTGGATACAGCAGGACAATGCTCCCTCACATATCCACGCCGATGATCCTGATTTTAAAACAGCAGTTGCCCATACCGGCCTGGATATACGCATAATGAATCAACCTTCTAATTCTCCTGATATGAATTGCCTAGATCTTGGTTTCTTTGCATCTCTTCAGTCGATGACGGATAGAACGACATCGAGAAACATGGATGACATCATCGCAAATGTGATCAATGAATATGAACACTACAACCCTGTTATTCTAAATAGGGTATTCCTGACGCTACAAGGATGCATGATTGAAGTTATGAAAGATAATGGAGGGAATAGGTACAAGATCCCCCACATGAATAAGCCGAGGCTGGAGGCAGCAGGCATGCTTCCCAAATCTCTTAGTTGCGACAGGGAGATAGTTCAGAAGGCAATTGAGTCGTTGAACGACTAATCGAATTGTTTGTTAAGCTTTTGATGTGTGTACTTGTAAATATGTTTAGTATCTTGTAATCCTAGTGGAGGCATTGTTCTGGTGACATTGAGCTAACGAAATATAGTTCTTAATGTTCAGATAGCGGAAATCATAACTATCCCAAAAGCTAACAAAATATAGTTCTTAATGTTCAGATAGCGGAAATATAGTTCTTAATACTGAGGAGAACCTTGATCCAGGGGATAAAGACTTCCCTGTTGGCCTCTTCGATGCCGGTAAGGCATTGTTCCATGTACTGCACCATCTCTTCGGTCATTTCACCGCCGGCATCAGCGGTAGCTTTGGTTGTGCCTGCCTCCAAGGCCACCTCACCGGTTGCAGCAAGTCGACGGCCAAAGGCCCCTTGACCTCGGCGGAGCACCGGACAGTAGCTCTCCTCCAGCTCACTATCTTCAGCTTCTGAGTCGAGAACGTACAACTGTCCCTCTGCGTCCAAACACAGACGACCACGTCCGACGTGCTTCGGGCTCCCACAGCAGTCGCAGCTCCCCAAGTGGCGAGGGTAGGTGCCTTCACAGCCGCCCTCCTCCGCCACAAGGTGCTTTCGGATCAGATTGCAGCTGTAGCACCCCAAAATGGGAGAGTAGCTGACATCGTCGTCGTCGCCGCCCCCACCTCCACAATGTGCTTCGGGCTCCCATCCCAGCCACAGGTGCCCGTGTTGGGACCGCAGCTGCCGTCGTCGCCTCCGTCTCCCACCTTCAGGGCGACCTTGGGGGCCACATCGCCGCCGCCCCCCACCTTTACGGCGAGCTTGGAGGCCGCATCACCGTCGCGGCCAACCTTCAGGCCAACCTTGGAAGCCGCATCACCGCCGCCCCCAACCTTCAGGGCGACCTTGGAGGCCGCATCGCCGCCGCCCCCCACCTTGTTGCCATGACCTTGGAGGCAGCCGTCGCTTTCGCTTCTTGCTGTTGCTTCTCGACTTTGCGCCATTGCTGCTGACCCGCAGACGGCGGCGGCGGATCCAGGCTAAGCGGTCGAGGAACGCGGCGGCGGCGCCATGGCCGCTAGACCATGCCGATCGCGCTATAGTTGACGGGGTGGCGGGGGGAGATCGAAGACTGGGAGATCTGGTGGCGGTGGAGATGGAAGGAGATGGGGAGGAGGAGAGGAGGGGGAGGGGCGTCAGGCGCGATGATTCTTGCTCGCTAACGTGACGCCGAGTGGCATGGCATGGGCGCCAGACGGACGACAAAGATCTGCGCAGATCTGCGGAGGCCGCTGCCTTCCACACCGGAGAAGGAGGGAGGAGGATTCGCGGAGGAGGAGTCCGGTGTGGCGCTGACCTCATGCAGCTTCATGGAGACGGATCTTTGTGCGTGCCCACCGTGAGAGGAGATAAGGTTCCGAGATTTTTTCATGTTCCCATCGCTTGGTTTCTCTTTTTTTATTCCATGTAGTGGACGACATGATTGACAGGTGCTGACTCTCCTACTACGTATAGGCTGCCAGGGCTAAAACGTCTCTTATTTTGAAAAAAAAAATTCAACCCTCAAACGTCCTTTATATTGGGACGGAGGGAGTATCTAACTATTAACAACTAATGGATCTAAATAAAAATAAAAATAAAAATATATGTCACTAACAGATGATGGAATGAAGAATGATGGAGCGAGCTTTGGCCACTAAACCAAGAAGACACTACCTCGTCACCCACAAAAAGCCAACTGAGAAAAGAACAAGAATTATTGTATTTTATTTTTGACAGAGATCGTGCAAGGGAGAACTGCGAACTGACGAGCTAGCTAAACCCAGATTTAGTGGACTCCGTACCAAACACCATGAAAATTGGCTTCAATACACTCCAACCCGGATGGGCCCTCGATCCAAATACATAGTTAGAGTCGCTCCTAGGATAAACGTCCAATTATTATTATTAATAATTATATTGGGTGGCGATTCGTGGGCCGGCTAGGATTGGTCCAAGCCCTTGCCAAGAATCCACTGACTGACCTCGTATAGCGCAGCGCAGTGCGCCATGTCGTTAGGTGGCACACGGCAGTGATGAGCACCGGGTCACGGCTGTTCCACGGCTAAAAAGCAGGATTGATTTTAGTTGATAAGCTCAAACGAACATGAGTAACTGTCTATGTTTTTAGATGTCTAGATTTAAAATATTTTCTATGTATCTAGACATCATATATGTCTAAATTTAGATAATCTTGTATCCAGTAGAATGCTAAAACGACATATAAATAAGGACCGAGGGAGTATATATCATTAATTCGTTTAGAATATATTTTTAATAACAAGAATATATTTTTATGTGCTTGGATCATTCACGTCAACCGAGAATACATCAAACCACAATTATTTTTTACAAAAGAACATCGTCATCATAACAAAGAAAAGCACATGCATGCATGACAAAAAGACATATAGCTAAGACACAGGATAACCTAAATAAAACACAGAAAATAAAAAAGAAGAAGAAGAAATCTCCAATAAACAACTCCTGTATTCATCTCGCGGCCTTCCGGCTGGTTACATTTTACATACATTAACCTTGATTCCAAAAGAACCAGAACCTATACTAAATAAAGAGTAAAAAAATATATCTCTTCAACTGATGATGGAGCTCTGGCCACTAAACCAAGAAAAGCACTGCCTCGTCAGTCGTCACCCACCAAAAAGCCAAGTGAGAAAAGTACAAGAATTTTATTGGACCCGTTCGGCGGGGTAGAATTTTAACTGAAATTAACTAAAAATACTATTTTGACTGAATTTATTGTAAAAAAAAATAATATTCCGACTAAAAAAAAAACCAAACAAACCAAATATATAAATACAGGGTAAGCCCAACGAGTCCAGTCTTATTCTTATTTTTGGCGGACATCGTGCAAGCGAGAACTGCGAGCTGACGAGCTTCCGCAGTGGACGCGGGACGTCAGCAGCCACGCCCGCAACACACCATGGACCGTTGACCGTGCCCAAGTCTTTATTGTTTTTAATTTTGTTTTCGAATATATCCAAGTGCTTATAATATAGTACCATGCTTCGTAGCTAAGTTTCGATAATCTCTTTGTTCTTTTGCCCTTCCCTTTATTTATTATGGAATCGATTGTTGGCCTGCTGACGTCACCTAGATGACAAAGAGGGCATCAAAATCAAATCCCTATATTGTTACCCATTTCATTATTTAATAATTTAATAAAAAAGCGGCTTTTAGGAATGCCCGCCCGGTTAATTAGCACACAGGATTAGTCCAAGCCGTCGCCAAGAATCCCACTGCCCTGGCCTAGTGCAACCCGGGGCGGCGCGGCATGGCATCAGGCGGCGGCGGCGGTGCCGGTGTGTGCAACAAGAGATACCGACGATCGGCCGACGACGACGGCGAGACGAGCGGCCGCAACAAGAGATGCGGCGTCGGCCCAAGCTCTGGGGCCAACGACGACGGCGAGAGCGGTGACGGCACCGGCGCTTACATGGACGGGACCAAAACGGCTGACGACGACGGCGCCGGCGAGGAGTACATGTACGGGTACGACGACGACGAAGCCGAGCAATCAGAGGGCGACGCCGCCTCGGCGTGCGACACGGAGCAGAGGTACGTCGTGCTCACCGAGGCCGAGGTCCACGCGCGGCAAGAGGCGGACACGGCCAAGGTCGCCGAGGTCCTGTCGATCCCGACGGGCTTCGCGGCCGTCCTGCTGCGCCACTTCAAGTGGCGCGTGGGGCGGGTCCAGGAGGAGTGGTTCACCGACGACCGGCGCGTCCGCGGCGCCGTCGGCCTGCCGGCTCCAGAGGAAGACGGCGACGAGCAAGTCCTAGTCCCCGACGCGCGCAGCCCGCGGCCGCAGGTCTGCGGCATCTGCTTCGATCCGTACCCCGCCGGGCGGACGCGGTCGGCGGGGTGCTCCCACTACTACTGCGACAGCTGCTGGAGCGGGTACGTCGCCGCGGCGGTGGGCGACGGCGCGCGGTGCCTATCGCTGCGGTGCCCGGACCCGTCCTGCTCGGCGCCCGTCGTCCGGGAGCTCGTCGACGCGGTGGCGGCGGGCGCCGCGGACAGGGCCCGGTACACGCGGTTCTGGCTCCGGTCGTACGTGGAGGAGAGCGGCGGGCGGATCAAGTGGTGCGGCGGCGCCGGGTGCACCCGCTCCGTGGAGTACCTCGGCGACGCGGCGGCGGCGACGGACGTGTTCTGCTGCGGGTGCAGGCACGGCTTCTGCTGGGGCTGCGGCGAGGAGGCGCACTGGCCGGTGTCGTGCGGCACGGTGCGCGCGTGGCTTGCCAAGAACGACTCCGATTCGGAGACAGCCAACTGGGTGGTGGCCAACACCAAGCGCTGCCCCAAGTGCCGGCGGCCGATCGAGAAGAACCACGGCTGCAACCACATGACGTGCGGCGCGCCCTGCCGCCACCAGTTCTGCTGGCTCTGCTTCGACCCCTGGGACAACCACCGAGGCTGCACGCGCTACGACTACCGCCAGCGGCAGCAGGTGGAGGCCGCCGCCGCGGACGAGGAGGAGGCGCGCCGGAGGCAGGCCAAGGCGTCGCTGGACAGGTACCTGTACCACTACGAGCGGTGGGCGGGCAACGGCAAGTCGCTGCAGAAGGCGCTCGCGGACGCGGACGAGCTGGAGAGGTCGGAGCTCGAGAGGATGGCCAGGATGGTGGACGTTCCGGCGATGGAGCTCGGGTTCGTGACCGAGGCGTACCGGCAGATCGCCGACGGCCGGCGCGTGCTGCGGTGGGCTCACGCCTACGCCTACTTTTTGTTCCTTGACCCGGAGCGCGACGCGGCCAAGCGCGACCTGTTCGACGACCTGCAGAGCCAGGCGAACCGGTGGCTCGAGTGCCTCCACAGCTGCGCCGAGCTGGAGAGGAAGGAGCTCTTCGGCGGTGGTGCCAATGGTGACGGCGAGTCCGCCACCGTCGCCGTCGAGGCGTTCAGGGCGTACAAGGAGAAGGTCGCCAACCTCACCGGAGTGACGCGGAAATTCATGGGGAACCTTGTGAAAGCGTTCAAGACCAACCTGCCGGAAGTGGTGGTGACGCCGGCATTCGATTTCGATCACATAGGTAAATGCAATGGATTGCTCTTGTGCATATGAAATTCTTGCTGATGAGTGGTTTGCATCATTTGTTCCATGGAACAGAGTTTTGTTATAGTAGTATAGTATATTCTAAAGTTGCTGCCTACCTTGACATTGACATGCTGATTGCTGACAAATTCCACACTCGAATGTTCCAGTGAATGGACCAACGATGGGCAGACAAACAGCTGGTGTTGGAGGCATTATTTCTACGCCAACTGTTACACTGGTAAGCTGCACTATTATTGACATTTCTGTTTCTAATTTTTATTCTAATTGTACCTTTACAATTTTTATTTTTATTTTTATTATAGGAACCAGCAGCCATGCTACCGATGAACTCAACTTTTTTCGGAGAAGCTACAACCTCGATGGGACTGCCTAATATGGGAGCAATAACACCATTTCAATTCCACATGTCAAACATGATATCAAGTGGCACGACATCGACACCCTCTGTCACCTTCTCTATGTCTGGACCTGGACAACCAATTGGTACTGAACTGATGATGGTACAGAGCACAGCTCTTGGCTCCTTTGGCTCAAACACTTCTACTGCATGGGACAATTCAGACATTGCTGAATCATCCTCTCAGCCTAACAGCATGGGCATGAATCGACAAGCAGGAATCAATCCCCTCAGTTCTGCCATGAATGTGCCTATTGGAATGCATCACAATGCCCAACAACCGCCACCAAAATATGTCAGAATTTGGGAGGTAAAGAGTTCTCTGTCTTTAGCATTTACATGTACATCCCAAACTCTCCAGTGACACAAGAATATTAAGTGCAGTGCAGAGCACTTCACTCATATATAGGAGCCTTATTAGGCCCTGCTGTGCTCATATGTTTCTGTGCAGTACAAAATTTGGCCCTCTTCTGGTTTATTGGAAGGACACATAACTTTGTTCAGTACAGCAGCCTGTACTTGTGTTAATATCAGACAAGCATAGGATCTATGATAATAATTAATTCTGCTAGTTTTTATGATATATTTCAGTATACCATATTGCTATCTTAAATGTTGTATGCTGTATCAGCTGTCATGCATTTCATTCCTTATCAGTCAATACATTGTGGCATATATCAACACTGGATAAACTTTCTCCTTGGCCTCCAGATTCCACTGTCAGTTTTTGTAACACTGACCCATTATGTAAATTCTGAGTTATATTGCACATATTATCTTGTATGCTTGCCAAGTTGCCATAGGGGTTTCAACAACTGATGTTTGCCGTCTATTTATATTACAGGGAACCTTATCCGGGCAAAGACAAGGACAGCCTGTATTTATTTGTAAACTCGATGTAAGTCTCTATTTGTATTATTGTACTTCCGAGTATTATGTGTTATTTTCTAAAAAAACTATAAAAGAATCCAATATCTTTTTGAATTTGTAGTATTACTAGCTGAATGATTGATTCCTGAGACATGGTTGACACTTTTATACTCTTTGTAGGTCTGTATGAAATCGAACGGAAAAATATCTTTTTTCCATGAAAAGCTTGTTCAAATGAATCTTGTGTTATCTTTGACCAACTTTCTTGCTTTGGAATAAACTCCTGAATGTATAATTCTGATTGCTTATGCTTCTAGTAAATAATTTAAACCCCTTAAAATGGACTGATTAGTAGCTGTCAAGCTCATTTTCAGCCACGGGTTGTGTTCACCTTCAAACCTGGGATCTTTAGCCCATGTGCTTTTAGGGTCTTGCATTCTTGCTATGTTTTTCTTTTACTATTTATTTATAGTATCAAGACATTTATTCGTGCAACTAATAATTCTCACTAATTTCTGACAGAGTTGGAGTGGAACAGTGTCCAAAACGTAAGTGTCCATTTTCTTGCACCTCTATGCCATTAGTGTTTTATGTTGATTACAGTGGTTGAGAACAATACTCCTAGTTAGTTGATGTTATTGTTGCCCTTGTCTTATCAGGAATGAGTTGTATTAGAATTGTTCATTTTTCTTAGTAGTATGTACGTGCTGATGCTTATGTAACACACAGTGTGATGCCCAGTGTGCATAATGCAAAGAGAAAATCGCCCCACCCCCTCTAGTGGAACCATTTTCTGCTATTTTTTGTTTTGCTTACAGACTAAGTAGGAAACTGAAACCATTGTTTTCCATATGCAGAGTTGCAGCAGACTGGCCAGAAACTATGCAGATTGTTCGCCTCATAGCGCAGGAGCATATGAACAAGAAGTTTGTTTCTCAACTCATTCCCATTCTTTTCAATATTAGACTTATTGCATTATCACATTTTCTTATAATGTGTTGTTGGTGATATCTTTCCTTGGATATTCTGAAGACAATATGTTGGAAAGACAGACTTTCTAATATTTCGGACTTTAAATCAGCATGGGTTTCTTGGACAACTACAAGAGAAGAAGCTGGTTAGTGCCTAGTTCTAATCTTTTAGTACCTTCTATATTTGCTTGTGGTTCATCTATAGTCTTCTCATACACTTAACTTTTTGGAAATTATTTCATATGGTTCTAATCTTTAAGTACCATCAATTCAGTGTGCTGTGATACAATTACCATCGCAAACTCTACTACTTTCAATGTCTGAAAAAGCAGGACGTATGATTGGCATGCTCTTCCCTAAGGTAATCTTAATTGTAGTCACATGTATACATACTTACATGCATTTACTGAAATATTGCTCTTTTCCCTAGAACATGGTGATGTTCAAACCAGAGGTCTTAACTCAGCCATCACCAGTGCAGCAGGAAAAGCTACAGCAACAACAAGAACTTCTACACCACCAACAGCAACAGCTACAACATCAACAACAGCAAAACTTACAGCGTCTTCAACAACAAATCCTACAGCAGCAACAGATGCAACAAATGCAGCATCAGCAGCGGGTAATATTAATTATAGTCAAATAAGTATATACCTATACGTGCTCGTTTCCATTTGTTGAAATACTGCCCTTTTTACTTGGAACTTGATGGTGTTCAAATCACAAGTCTCAACTCAAAATCTGCCAATGCAGCAACAGAAGCTACACCAGCAACAACTTCAACACCAAGAACCACTACTTTTATTTACGCCAAAAGAACAGCAACAACTGTTGCAACAAATGCAACAGCAACCTCAATACCAGCAACCGCTACAGCAACAAATGCAACATCAACAACAACTAAGGCAACAAATACAGCATCAGAAGAATCAGCAGCAACATATGCAGCAAATGCAGCCCCAGCAACAACCGCTGCCTCAGATGGTGGGTACAGAACTAGGCAGTGATGATGATGCAAGGGAAGATTGGGTCACAGGGGCTGGGCAGCATGCCTAGAGAAGTAGGGAGGGTTAATAAGGGCATACAATGACCTGATGATTATGACATTTCCTAAATCATTAATTTGATAATTTTAAAGAATAGTCATTTGTATAGTGTTACGGGGTGGATTTAGAGTTTAAATAACCACACTATGTTATCTAGTAGTTAATATATTGTATTGAGTTTGGAGCTAGAGATGTGCAATTTCCCCATGTTTCTTCACCAAAATCTTTAATCGCCCATCAAAGATTGAGAATCTAGTTCTATGCAGAAGCACTAGCTGAGTAGCTAGTTCAGGAGTCAGGACACACTTAACGCACACCACCTTCTTGGAAGTTGCAGATGAGCTACAAAACGTGCAGGTTGTCAGTGTTGGCCCCACTTCTCTTTTTATATCTTTATATTTCCTTTTTCTCCTTATTCTATAGAAAATTAATTCTTATAACAATATTCTAGAAAGTTATTTAATAGAACTTTCTTAAGAAAAAATATATAAACAAAGAAAGAACATGAGCAAGTAAAGGCCACATTAAATTGCGTCAAGGAGATCCAACTTCGACCGGCTTAATTGGTCATCACTCCAATTGCATCATCACTGTGAGTTTTGAGCGCGTGTGTTGTAGGATGTAGCGTCCGACAATATATCAACATTTCGTGCTTAGGGAATTAGAGAGGTAGAACATGGGACACAAATTTGTACTTGTTTAGGTACATGGTACCCTATATCCAGTGGAGAAAGCTTCTCTATGCGTTGTGTGCTGATGTTTGCAGGGGTGCTGATGTTTATTAGAGCCTAGAATACGAGGATCAGGGATGATTGTTGATACAGCGTGACGCTTTCCCTTCTTATATACAATCCAAGGGGTAGGGCATACAAAGAGCAATTCCGATCATATCCGGCAGTTTTATAGTTTGTCACAAGGAAACAAGAGTCAGGTCCGAGTGGATCTCTACAGATTGATTGGCTTCTAGGCGCATTTAGTCAATGCCCCTTGTCCTCCAAGTTGTCAAGGTACCCCAGCCTATCTAGTTTGGGTCTCTCATTTTGCACATTGGGCCCACGCCATCCTAGTTGGGTTGTTTTCCTTGCGGCGAGGGTACCCGAGGCCCAATAAACGACACTAGCCCCAAAGGTCTTCATGATGAGCCGGTCATCCACTCGACCCGTCGATTATGCCTGCTGATGGTGCATTCTTCAATCTCCTGGATTTTGCTCATCATGATGGCCTATTAAAGATAATGATGCGGGGTGTCAGGGAATTCAAGCTGCTTCGTCTTCCTCACCACCACTGTTCCACTTGTGATACTAGAGAGTGTCATTTTTCAGCCATTTGATCCACCTACCCCTTCCATTGGGGCTTATGAAAAGCACCTCCGATGAGACCTCCATAGAACAAGCCACACTGAAGTCTTCCAAGGTAGATCCTGAATATAATGAGCTCATCGAGTCTACACCATGAGTTTTTGCCCTAGGGCTCGGAGAAGATGTCATCGACTCTAGGAGAATGCAATGCACATGAACCTCTCCGAGTGCCTTGGTGCAGCGATGGCTGCTCAACCAAGGTACCTAAATAATAGAGATAATTGTCTGTTGGACATCCAAAGTGATGGTCCTTTGCTGGCGGACACCCACTTTGGAGCATTTTGACAGAAGACACTCTGGTTCGTTGAAATTAGGCCACAGGACACCGCGGCTCGGTTACAGCCGGTTAAGGAGAGAGAAAACTTCATTTTGGACATCTGGTGCCCCTGAACCACACTTGGGTCCTGGTCTGGTTGGGCCCATAAGAACCAGCCCCGACCCATCCGTTACCCCCATGGCGGTCGGCCAAAATATCGGCAGCCACTATGCGCAACCGCCTCTCTCCCATGTCGTGTTCTAGCAAAGCTTATCCCTTCCGGATTTCTCGTCGTCCAGCTCAAGCCCAACCCCATCCCAGCTGCCATGGCCGTCGCAGATGTTTGCCCCGCCACCGCCTAGATCCGCCTATAAAAGGATGATGAGCTCATTGCTTTGTGGAGGCATCAAGAAAGAACAGGCTTCAGCGTCTTGATGGAGAAGCCCGTCACATTTGCCAAAATCAGGGTCACCAGAGCCGCTGCTCGAATCTCGCCTGCCGCTGCTGCTGCCGAGCACCCGCTGTCACCGTGCCTTGCTATGTTCTCCCGTCTCCCTCCATCTCTACCTCTCCCTCTCTGGTACTTCTCCCTCTCTTCTCCTGCCCTAACCAGCGCACGCTGCTGGCCACCTCGTCGGAGCCGAGGTCACCGTTGGCCGGAGTTGCTTTGTCCTCTCCCTGTTTCCTCCATCCTTCTCTTTCTGCTCCGCCTTACCTTCCCTCTCCCTCTCTCGCTCAGTTGGAGACGGGCATAGAGCGCCGCTGCCGGCACCTGTGCCCCTACCCCGACACCCTGCTCCCTAGCTCCTTTCTCCTCTCTCTCTCTCTCTCTCTCTCCCTCCCTCCCTCCCTCCCTCCCTCTCGCTTCCCCTCTGTCTCGCTTCTCTCTATTCTGTTCACGCGGATGAGGACGACCGACGCAAGGCAGCACATGGCCACATCACTCGACCCAATAAGGGCAAGCCACGCCTGGCCATGGGCCCTATCCATCATGGACTCTACTCCCTCTTTCCCTTCTCTATGGACATGGACCACGTGAAACAAAGAGAGAGAGGAGCTGAGTCCACAGATCGGTGTTGTGGTCCAACCGCACCAAGGTTGGGGCGGACCCAAGTGTGGTTTAGGGGCATCGGATGTCCAAATGAAGTTTTCTCTCTCCTCAACCGGCTTATAATCGGGCCGCGGTGTCCTTGTGGTAGAACCACCCAAAATAGCACACTTACGGAGGCGCTCGTCTTCCACCAGACACTAAGCACCCCGAAAGCAAGCTACAGCGGACAGTATCCGTCGGGCACACCCCAAGGGAGAACCCGAAAGATCCACATTTTTCCCCAAGGATCCAATAATGAGAACGAGTTACAATACTTAATCTATTTCATACATCCAGAGTTCATAAAAAGTACATTATTACATTTCCAAAGTCAGAGTGCGGAATTAAGATAAACATCTAGCGATAAAGAACGAGGATCCGTCTGTGCCCACCAGAAAAATCCTCCACACAAAGGTACTCCTCAAGCATAACCTGCAACAGGGGTAAATAAACCCTGAGTACACAATATACTCGCAAGACTTATCCGACTAGTGGGAATAATTTCCCGACTCCAAGGAATATGATAAGCTTTATGGTTTCTTGGTTTCCTTTTTGCAGAAAGCAATACTAATAGTGAGTCCTTATCGATGTCATTATTAATAGCCGTATTAGTTTGTTATCTAGCCATTCTATGTAAGCACCTGTTCTACTTTCAAATAAGAGTTGAGCAATCAGTTCTATTTCAACACCTTCCATCTTCTAGTTCTTACTACGGTGCTAGACACGAAACAAGTCATACCGGATTGCCCGGCGATTCACGAATCAATGTCCACAGTTGGGTACCCCGAAAACACACGCCCCGCTTGTACCCTAGGCACAAGCAGGACTAACCCATCACCCTCCTATCCTGGGTGTCTAGGTCCCCGTCTAAACTTGGACTCCAAGCCCCCACTCCTGAGTCCCGGACTCAGTATGGTGCAAGGACCTCCACCATCCCCACCTCCAATCAGTCGGTCCGAAAAGAGCCGGATCCATGACAAGAGAGCAACGAATCTTCCCTGCGCCCATACCCAAGTATGTGCTCGGGATAATAATTTTGTGACTTGCCCCGATGACTTATGCAACGACCAGTCCTTAATCAACACAGACAGGGAAAAATTGTAACCGAGCTATGCTGAAAGCTCTAGTTTGGTTTTGGTGAATTGATGAAACCCTAAGTGCTAACCTAGTTTATCAAGTGATCATAAGATAGGTAGCACATTCCAAGTGGTGAAGCAAATGAAGATCATGACTTGATGGTGATGCCATGCTGATGATCAAGTGCTTGGACTTGAAAAGAAGAAAGAGAAAAACAAAAGGCTCAAGGCAAAGGTATAAATGGTAGGAGCCATTTTATTTTGGTGATCGAGACACTTAGTGAGTGTGTTCACATTTAAGATCAATAGCCGTACTATTAAGAGGGGTGAACTCGTATCGAAATGCAGTTATCAAAGTGCCACTAGATGCTCTAACTCATTGCATATGTATTTAGGATCTAGTGGAGTGCTAACACCCTTGAAAATGTTTGTGAAAATATGCTAACACATGTGCACAAGGTGATACACTTGGTGGTTGGCACATTTGAGCAAGGGTTAGAAACTTCACCGGCGGAGTGTCCGTCCGTAGAGTGCGAACAGTCCAACGGTGCCACCGGCGCTCTCTACAGAAAAGACGAAGGTCATTGTAAGTGACCGGAAGCTGGTCTCGGTTGGACCGGCGCGTCCGGTCAGTGGCAGCGTCTCATGACCGGACGCTGGCACGAAAATTGATCGGACGCTCAGGGCCTGAGTCCGGTTAGTCTGACGTATGATGACGTTGAGTGACCGGACGCTAGGTGTGTCCGACCGAGCATGACCGAACGCGTCCGGTCGTGATTTCTCGCTTCTAGATGCTTACTGGAAACGACCGGACGCTGAGGTCCAGCGTCCGATCACTTCGCAGCAGCGCGTCCGGTCATCACTTGACCGTTGGGATCGGGTGCTCAGTATTTGAAGAGAAGGGACACATGGCGTGCATCGCGCGACCGAATGCTGAGGTCCAGCGTCCGATCTATCTAACTGGCGCGTTTGGTTGCCCCATGTTCAGTGCAGTGAGGAGCCCAACGGCTCTATTCGTTGGGGCTTTCTATTTAAGCCCCATGGCCGGCTCAAGCTCACTCTCTTGGCCATTTGCATTGACATAGCAACCTTGTGAGCTTAGCCAAAGCCCTCTCACTCATCTCCATCATTGATTCAACATCTTTGTAAGATTGGGAGTGAATCCAAGTGCATTGCTTGAGTGTTTGCATCTAGAGGCACTTGGTGTTCGTGTTTCATTGCGGGATTCGC